CTAATCATTTTTGTTGCCCTCCGCTGGACTCTTTCCAATTTTTCCACATCCTTCTTGTAGTGTGGGGCCCAAAACTGGACACAGTACTCCAGATGAGGCCTCACCAATGTCGAATAGAGGGGAACGATCCCGTCCCTTGATCTGCTGGCAATGCCCCTACTTATACATCCCAAAATGCCATTGGCCTTCTTGGCAGCAAGGGCACACTGTTGACTCATATCCAACTTCTCATCCACTGTAACCCCTAGGTCCTTTTCTGCAGAACTGCTGCCGAGCCATTCGGTCCCTAGTCTGTAGCAGGGCATTGGATTCTTCCGTCCTAAGTGCAGGACTCTGCACTTGTCCTTGTTGAACCTCATCAGATTTCTTTTGGCCCAATCCTCCAATTTGTCTAGTTCCCTCTGTATCCTATCCCTACCCTCCAGCGTATCTACCACTCCTCCCAGTTTAGTGTCATCTGCAAACTTGCTGAGGGTGCAATCTACACCAACCTCCAGATCATTTATGTAGATATTGAACAAAACCGGCCCCAGGACCGACCCCTGGGGCACTCCACTTGATACCGGCTGCCAACTAGACATGGAGCCATTGATCCTGACAATCCCGTTGAGCCCGACAATCTAGCCAGCTTTCTATCCACCTTATAGTCCATTCATCCAGCCCATACTTCTTTAACTTGCTGGCAAGAATACTGTGGGAGACCATTGCAAAAGCTTTGCTAAAGTCAAGGAACAACACGTCCACTGCTTTCCCTTCATCCACAGAGCCAGTTATCTCGTTATAGAAGGCAATTAGATTAGTCAGGCATGACTTGCCCTTGGTGAATCCATGCTGACTGTTCCTGATCACTTTCCTCTCCTCTAAGTGCTTCAGAATTGATTCCTTGAGGACCTGCTCCATGATTTTTCCAGGGACTGAGGTGTGGGACAACCACATCTCCGTGCAGTATTCAAGATGTGGGCGTACCAAGGATTTACAGAGAGGCAATATGATATTTTCTGTCGTATTATCTATCCCTTTCTTAATGATTCCCAACATTCTCTTTTTTTGAGTGCCTCTGCACATTGAATGGATGTTTTCAGAGAACTATCTAAATGACTTCAAGATCTCTTTCTTGATTGGTAACTGCTAACTTAGATCCCATCATTTTATATGTGTAATTGGGATTATGTTTTCCATTGTGCATTACTTTGCATTTACCAACATTGAATTTCATCTGCCATTTTGTTGCCCAGTCACTCAGTTTTATGAGATCCCTTTGTAGCTCTTCGCAGTCTGCTTTGGACTTAACTATCTTGAGTAGTTTTGTATCATCTGCAAATATTGCCATCTGTTTACCCCTTTTTCCTGATCATTTATGAATATATTGAATAGGACTGGTTCCAGAACAGACCCCTGGGGGACACAACTATTCACTTCTCTCCATTCTGAAAACATACCATTTATTCCTACCTTTTGTTTCCTATCTTTTAACCAATTACTGATCCATGAGAGGACATTCCCTCTTATCCCATGACAGCTTACTTTGCTTAAGAGCCTCTGTTGAGGGACCTTATCAAAGGCTTTCTGAAAATCTAAGTACACCATATCCATTGAATCCCCCTTGTCCACATGCTTGTTGACCCACTCAAAGAATTCTAGTGGATTGGTGAGGCTCTTGTAGTGTGACCCTGAGAGAAAGAGAGCCTTTTTGGGCAGAGTGCTGGCTGGAAAAATAGGCTTGGAACATGGAGCAAGGAAATTCTCTCCTGTTGCTTGATTCCTATTGTGTTAAGGAAACAGCACTTTGTATACGTTTTTTGTAAATAAACAGGATTGCCATACCTGACTCCATCAGCAATTTCTCCTCCTAACTGCTTGGGTCAACAAGGGTAACTGTATTTAAAAAAACAAAATCCACAAAGGTTTGGAAAAGAGAAGTCTTACAATTATTGTTTCCTTTAAAAGGAAAAGGAGTACTTGTGGCACCTTAGAGACTAACCAATTTATTTGAGCATGAGCTTTCGTGAGCTACAGCTCACTTCCGATGAAGTGAGCTGTAGCTCATGAAAGCTCATGCTCAAATAAATTGGTTAGTCTCTAAGGTGCCACAAGTACTCCTTTTCTTTTTGCGAATACAGACTAACACGGCTGTTACTCTGAAACCTTCCTTTAAAAGGAAGATTTTCAAAGTCCATATGGGATGAAATCTAAACTGATTACTTTGGATATATGCAAATAACTAAAACATTTCATACCCATCAAGTGAAGGCAGTTTAACTGATTATATGTTTATATTCATTAATTTTATTTCTTGAAGTAGCCGTTTCTTTAAAACTCGCTAAATATTATGTAGAGGGTGTGTTTAATGGCCCTTTTCTAAGAAACCCAAGATATTTTCTGTAGGGCATTGTGCTGTATTTTGTAAAGCAATTACTTTAAATAAATTAAAGATTTGCTTAGAAAAATAAAGCCCCAGGCTACATAAACATTTCAACTAAATGTTAAATGGGTATTAAAATCACTAGTCTTGAGGGAAATACAGGTAGAAAGCTTTGGAGTTGGCGTCACATGGGTGACGGCGTCTGGCCCCTATTTTTCATATAAGAGGCAAAGCAGAAAATATCCTTGTGCTAAATGGACTGGGCTGCAGCCCAGGATGGTCTGTGACCCTAGATGGCCTCTCAGCAGCATTGCTCTGAGCTGTCAATCAAACTGCGGTTTGAAACATTTACACATATTTTAAAAAACAAGAGTCCAGTTCTTCAAACTCTTCCTCCAGAATCAGTCTCATTGACGTCAGTGGCTAGAGACCGAATTACCATGTTTGGTTAATGATAGTGTGAAGTCTTTGTCCAAATGGTACAATGTGTATGGGTGCCTGTTCTCTTTTCCCCTGTACACACAGCAAACATCTGCTTCCAGGCAGTGGCTTTTACATTAACAAAACAAAACAAGAGGGAACAAAAGTAAGGTTTCCACAAGAGACCACACCATGTAGCTGCATCTCTCCACTGTAACAGGTTACACTAAAATTCAAAATGACAGTTGTGTTTGCTGTGTGTGTGTGTGTGTCCATTTAAAGGTGCAGTGTTACATATGCTATTGAATAATACAGAAATAAATATGAACTATGGTGCGTACTGCTCTATCATGAATTGCTTTCTGTAGGAAATAGCAAACCACAATTCAGAGTCTAAATACTGTAACTGTAATAACTGACTTTAAAAATTGTGGTGTACTCTGAGTCCTTGTTGTCTTTTGTCTTATATTTAGATTATAACCTATTTAGAAAACGGACTGCCATTTGGTTTTGTGTTTGCAAAGTGTCCCGATGTACTGCAATACAAATATGAACAATAATCCTATTGACCTGAATGGAACTTCTCAGATGTAAGGTTATGTATAAACACCTATCAGGAAGAACAGTAGTGAAATTGTTGTACCCTAATTTGCAGTGCTTGCAGTATACTAATCTTTCCCCCTGGATTTTAAAAAGTTTTGGAGTTTTGCAGAGTAAATTAGTTTACCTTGGGGTCTTAACCTGTACAGGAGCAGCAACACATGTCCAGTGCCAGTCCCTGTACATCCCCAGGGAAAGGTCGTCAGTTTTCTGGGATGTCCTTGCCACTACAATTCAACAGTGGCAGTGGAGCACAGTAATGAAAGGAAGGGCAAGGCTAAGGCATCCCTTACAGCTGAAGTCAAGAAGCTTATTTCTGATGCACTTGAGGAAGCGGAGCCAGTAGAAGGGACTCAGAATGTGGACTGGAGGATCAAAGTGACAGACAAGTGAGGATTCTAGCAGGCGCATTTTGAATGCAGCTCAGGGGGTCAAGCCCAGAAAGGAGAGATTACAATAAGAAGATGCAAGATAAGGCCTTGGACAAGAAGCTGGGCACCATGGACCCAGGAGAAGGGCTGGTTCTAGTAGATGTCGGATATAGCCCAGAGGTGAGAGTGCATACGGAGGTCTGTGGGAATACTCCCATGATGACCATTCACCAAAGTGACCCATGGGAAAAGCATTGGGTAGTGCTGAAGTGGCCTTTTGTAGAGTACAGACATTTGCCTGCAGAGGCAAAGTAGCCTTGAGAACAAAGAGTCCAGTGAAAAGGAGAAGTAGCTCTAACTTCCATTATTCCTGAGCCTTGTAGAATGCCCTGAGTTGTCTTCCTAGTTGTGTTGTCCCCTCAGCATTGTGGGAATTCAGGGATGCTCCTGAGGAAGAAAGACAGCTGGAATGACATAGAATCATAGAAGATAAGGGTTGGAAGAGACCTCAGGAGGTCATCTAGACCAACACCAACTAAATCATCCCAGCCAGGGCTTTGTCAAGGCAGGCCTTAAAAACCTCTTAGGATGGAGATTCCACCACCTCCCTAGGTAATCCATTCCAGTGCTTCACCACCCTCCTAGTGAAATAGTATTTCCTAATATCCAACCTAGACCTCCTCCACAGCAACTTGAGACCATTGCTCTTTGTTCTGTCATCTGCCACCACTGAGAACAGCCTAGCTCCATCCTCTTTGAATGTCCCCTTCAGGTAGTTGAAGGCTGCTATCAAATCCCCCCTCACTCTTCTCTTCTGCAGACTTAGTAAACCCAGTTCCTTTAGCCTCTCCTCATAAAGTCATGTGCCCCAGACCTCTAATCATTTTCATTGCCCTCCACTTTCATAGAGCCAGGCCAGTGTCTTCTGTAGCAGCAGTACAATAAGAGTGCAAATGGGTCAGTCCAAAAGCAAGGGAAATTTGAATATGCTCACTCCATTGTGCCCAAGATTTGCAGCACTGGTGATGCTACATGGGTGGGTACCCCATAAAAATATTACCCACAGCAATACATAGGCCCACTTTGAGGAGTCTAAGACAACTGCACAATCTCCGCCTCAGAATTGCTTTGCTATTTTATTGGTGTACAGGCAGTTTAAATCATGTATCCTGTGCTGTCCAAAATCTCAGCTAGAAATACTGCAGTGTCTGTATTACTGACCTCCTGTGACTATAGAAAGAAAGAGGTTTGGGAAGTGATGCTGTGGCTCTTTGGGTGCTTGAAGATTTGCCAGGAACCAGTTTTGCAGTGTTTTTGCCAAACACAGATTGTATGACAGAGTTCATTGGACAAGGACAATGATGCAATTCTTGCTATGTTGGTGCCCAGAGAGGCTCACTAAAGAGGCCTCCTGAGATCAGGCAAGTATGGCGGGGAAACTGTAACAGGAAAAAGAGAGAGACAAGTCCTAGTCTTAATCAGCCTTCCATCACTGAGGAAGCAGAGGAGAGGGGAATAATCTCCTACAGAGAGTGCGGCAGTGTAAATTAACCTGAAACACGTCAGCATTCAGCGAGGAATTTGGAAACTATGGTAGGTCTTTTTTTTTTTCTCTTCATTTTTAAAATAAAGGCCAGCAACTTCCCCCTTATCTTAAATGTTTAAATCATTGCTCATTTCCGTCTGAGAGGAGACCTGAGAACTGGGTGTGTAACATATACTCTGCACTTGTATAGTGCCTTCTAGAGACAGCCTGTTTTGTTAATGCATGCAGATGATCTAATAGCCTAAACACAGAGTCTAGGAAATTAACCCAAGGACATGCAAGGGAAGAGAAGAGGACTGAGGGGAGAGGCTGCAGATTCGCAAAAGAAAAGGAGTGAGAAAAAAAGCATCATGCAAACCTTACACACAAGGGGCCAGGTAAGCACTCGATGTTTTATCAACATATTTTGAAGCTGATACTAAGGTACAGAGAACCACTTGTGAATGGCTGAGCACCCACTTCTTCATTGCTTCAGTGGGGCTGAGATCACTCAGCACTTTGTAGGATGAGCCCCTTCGTGGCAATGGGGAAGAGTTTTGCCTCCCCATGAAACGGGGGTGCAGCAGTGCAAAAATGTGAAAGCCGCAGCATGCCTGACAAATGTCCCAAATGCTGAAAACCGTTTAGATTCTGTATATGAAGTGGAAGATTTGCCCCTGGCACATCTCACTAAATTCTGGGGTCCAGCCTCCTCTTTGTGCAAAAGAGATGCACTGAATTACGTGGAAGTATTTGCAATGTCAGATGGTTCCAAAATCATTTGATGAAGCTGAAAGAAAAGGAGTACTTGTGGCACCTTAGAGACTAACCAATTTATTTGAGCATGAGCTTTCGTGATGAAGTGAACTGTAGCTCACGAAAGCTCATGCTCAAATAAATTGGTTAGTCTCTAAGGTGCCACAAGTACTCCTTTTCTTTTTGCGAATACAGACTAACACGGCTGTTCCTCTGAAACCTGTCATGATGAAGCTGAGTGGCTCCTAAACTGGAGAGCAGGAGGAAAGGAAGCAACAGCAGAAGAGGCTAAGTCACCTACTCACTTGGTAGTGAGCAGGAAGGGGTTGCTGCCATCCAGGGTGCTGAGATTTTTCTCCAAGACCTTTTTCACTCAGTTCCCAAGAAATTAGCTCAACTCCAGATTCGTCATTGAGGTTTTTTTTATTCATATCATCGTTGGCATACAGCAACACTATGCTACAGTGATGAAGCTCAAATGCAGTGGGGGTGGGTATAGGGGTTTATCAGGGGTTTACCACAACTCCAAAAGCACACAATAATAAATCAGATTAGAGATATAGACTGTGTGCGTGTTACATAAACAAATCCTGGACTGTCCACAGGCTACAAAATATGCTAGTAAACAAAACTGCAGCTGTCAATTTATCACACATTACTCTTCTTACTAGTTCTTTATCTACTAATGACATTATTTACAAGGCCACTTGTGAATTCATGCTTTGTCCATTGTTAGCCTGTTTCCTTATTCTCTTTTCTTTCATTGTTCATGCAAGGCCTACACAGGGCTCCTAAGCCACAAAGAAGCAGAGCAGTGCAGCTGGGGAAGGCCCCTGCCATGGGGCACTCCTAAGTCCTACAGGGCTGGGGAGTTGTTATTTATTAGTAGGATTACTGTAACATGTCGGAGCCCTTGTCACGGGCCAGGACCCCGTTGTGGTCGGCGCTGTAGTAACACCAAACAGAACGACAGGAATTATGCTCTGCAGTTTGAAAGCCCTGGGGGTGGCAACCATCTTGTGTTCCAAGCACCTTAGGCATCCTGCTCCTTCTTAGATGATCCTGCCTTCATGCCCTCTCCTCCCTCCACCGTCCCAGCTAGTCACACACACCCTCTCCGGGTGGATGGACAGGTGGGAGAGCTGATGAGAAATGACCATTTTTGTGGATTGATGAAGTGCAAATGGATTTAAACAGCATCTTGGCAAAAGGGAAAACGGAATGGCTCTTTGCTTGGCCCCACCACTGCATTGTAGAGTGGGGCCCCGATTTTTAGTTCCCAGTTCAAGAAAGTGGAAAAACAACCTTCTAATCACTGACCAATTGCTTTTCAAGGGAGTGATGTTTTCACAAGGAATTTTTGTCTCTTCAGTGAAGAATTATTTTCTGAATGGTGCTCTGTGTAAGGTCAGGCTGACTTCCTGTGTGGTGACAAGGTCTCACTGAATGCTGGGATGCTGCAAGCTCCTGCCAGAATGACCCTACTGTGGAATAAAGCTCTGTCCCTTGCAATGCTGAGCTTTCCCTTCTGAACACTTCACAGTAGAAAGTGACTGTGCAGGGAAGACCTGAGCCTTCTCCTGTAGTGATGTCACAGTGTGGGAAAGCGGGGGGAGCAGGATCTCCCCATTCTTTGGTGGTGCTTTGTATGGAATGATAGATATTAGGCCAGAGGTGCTCACTGGCTTGTGCAGCTTTTCTGTTAACTAGCATGATTAGTGGGAAATGTATTCTGGATATGAAGGACACCATAAAATAGCTCCAGTGTGCAGTGAACTGAGTCACTGATTACAGTTTCCCAAAAGGCTGGTGTGAGTTTTAGGTATACAGGAAAGTAATTTTTTTTTCCGCTTGAACCATCTTTTGGGCTCTTTTATTTGCGAGTAGATATGATGGCAGAAAGGGCAAAGATTTAAAATTGTTTGCTTGTGTCCGAAGGTCATTGGAATTGGGGGAGAGGTAAGGGAGGGCAGCTTGGAGTTTAGGAAAGATGGGGGAGAGCAATAAGTTTTGGGATAATGCTGTCTGATTCAGTAGGATTAGTTACTGTCTCTCCCAACTTTCTGTGCTAGTATGAAGCACTGGTGATTGTGGGAAGTGTGTGATGTTACAGTGTTAACGTGTGGACAGAGCATTGAGCTATAAGTATTTCATAGCAGCACCCGAGTTCTCGTTCTGGGTTTTCTGTTTCCTTGGAGAGAATTTCATATTTAGAAACATTTGACACAGTTAACATAGGATTTCTCGCTTGCAAAACTGATGAAAATTGAAGAAGCAGGGATGCCTCCTGGGCTTCGTGGGCTTAATATTTTCCCTGTACGTTTTATGAAGTACTTACAAAAAGCGAGTGGGGTGCATGTGACACAAATTGTTACGAATATGGGAAAAGTGAGGGCTCACCCTGTGTCCTTTGGGAGCTAGCTATTGCAATAGAGCAGTTACAGTCTGTGTCAGAGTCCCAAGTGAAGGTGTCAGGCTGTAGCAGAGCATTCCACAGCTGTACTTGCTGACTTATCCACTGGCAAGATAGGTGCAGTTGATTCCAAGACCGATGCATTCATTCTTTTAATTATTTATATGCTTGCGTCTCTAATCAGAGTAACACCGTGACAGTGGCTGGGAGCTGCGATTGTCATACTACTGTGAGTGCTCGGTCAGCCTGCCTGTGATACAGCCGCTGCTGCTGCCTCTTGCACCCACCAGGCACCAAACACACATTGCTGCTGTGACACAGCATGGCCAGAGGGCAGCAGGAGAGAGTTAAAAGGGAGCCTTCTTCCCTATAGGAAGAAAGTTTGCTATAGATTATGTAGAGCACCTGAAGCCAGTCACCTGATAAAACCCTTCTGCTTCAATCAGACAAAGAAAGGAGTTGAAGCAGAGTGGATTGGTGTTAGGGCAGGAGAGGGAAGTAGCCCAGGGGAAGGAATTGCTAATTCAAGTGGTTTACCGCTATCCCTAGGGCCCCTGGGCTGGGACCCAGAGTAGAGGGCGGGCCCGGGTCCCTCCCTCTCCACTCCCCTCCTCTAGGACACTAGTGAGGCAGTTAATACCCTAGTTCAGGGGCAAGAAACGGTGCCCTGAGCCCTCCCCAATAAGAGAAAGCGCAAGACCCATCAAAGTAGTGCCGGCAATTTGCCACACTTCCCACATGGTCACTCCTTATGCTGCCCACAACTCTCTGCTCAGCGTGCTCCTCCCAAACAGCTCCCTCTACTCCTAAGGAAAACTTCCCTTCCTGGTTTTCTTCTGGTCACATGACATAGGGGTATGTCTACACCTTGACTTGGAGGTGTAAATCCAAGCCTGAGGATTGAGCTCGCGTGCTAATAGAGTGCCTGAGCAAGCAGGTGGGAGTAGCCGCCCAAGTGTGTGCCTAGCGTCTCAGTGGGGTACGTATGCAGGGAGTCGAACCTCTAGTGCTGCTGCAGCTACCCTCTCTTTTTACCAAACTAGCTCGATCACAGCTAGCCGCTGGAGACAAGCTCTGTCTCCTCAAGCTGGAATTCATACCTCCAGTTCAAAGTCCAACCATACCCACGTAGGTACCCCCTCCCCAACTCTCGTGAGAAAGTCCCCTCCAACGACAATTCAATAGCCAAGACTTGCAAACTGACTAATGAGTTTGGGGTGCTCGCCTTGACACACCTTAAAGATGCCTGATTTTCAGTGGGTTGGTGCTGAGCACATTCTGAAAATCAGGCCTTTTAAAGGTGTGTTGATCAATCAAGACTTCCAAAATCACTAGTTGCTCTTGAAAATCTTGGCCAAATTTTATCCTGCTCTTTTGCAGTCCAGGATTCAGGTTTTAAAATACATTGACTGAGCCCTGTGACAGGCAGCGCAGGAAAACTCTCTTCAATCCCTTTACTAATTAAATCGGACTTCATCCGTTTTGAGTTTCTCTGTGTCATGCATCACGCACGAATGTTCTCCTCAAGTTCTTGTTAATTATTAAATCTGTATCTGTGCTAGGTTTATTGCTTGGAAGAGAAAATTCCTCTTGCTTAGTGCAGCATATGGCCAACAAGAACCATGGCAGGTAAAAAGCAGAAACTTTAGGGTTTTTTTTAACCACATTCTCTTTTGCTGTGGGTCACCTTTGGAATGGAAATGTAATCTATACAATAGGGTGCATGTACTTCAACAGCTGTTGGGCTGGGTGGCCTGTCACTGTGAAATAGCTGGAGAAATGCCAAAGGTTTCACATGTCTTGAAGGCTGTCAAGTTTTTGCTTTTTCATGTTGTTGCAGCATCTGAGAATGCAGCAAGCCTTGAAGCAAACTGAGTTGGGTAAGACAGAATTATTAAT